GACAAGTCAACTGCATCCAAACTCGACCATCAGGAACCAACATCCATGCAGGAGTAGGAAAGAGGATCATACCGTTTTCACCTTAAGTTCAGCCAATCAGATGGAGAAATCCCACAACCAATCTGTGAACAGGGCACACCTGAGAAGAGGGAAATAACATACATATATATTCCACTCAAATCAAACAGTCCAGAACCATCTCAAATGCAGTAACATCCTCTGCATAAAGACATTGAAGAGTAGTGCAAGAGGAAGAAGATGAGCAACCAATAAGTGCACCCACAATACTGGGGTAGTGCACTTGATGCAAATTGAGTGAGGGACCAGGGACACACTGAACACATGTGTGAGGACTTATGTTGATTGATTTAGCTTTAAATCCACAACTCAACTGCTGGGAAAAGACATCCATGTAAGAGTAGGATGACGGATCCCATTCAAAGGTGTGAACTGCACTTATGCCATCACACAACATGTGTGAGTACATCACCTCAATTGGTTCAGCTCTAAATCCAAAACTCAACCAGTGGGAACTGACATACATGCGGGGGTAGAATGAAGGATCCCAACTGACACAACATGAGAGTGGACAATATGTTTAGTTCAACTCTAAATCTAAAACTAAACTGCTGGTAACCGACTTCCTTGTGGGGGTAGAATGAAGGATCGCAATCATTATGACGATGCACTCCAAAGCTACAACATCCCTTCGAACAAACTTGTGCAGATATAGAGCATCAATTTGGAGGACATCTTGTCATCTACATCAACAAAACACCACCACCCTATTCTCAACTTTATTGTTTATATTGTATATCTCTAATTCTGGAGGATACTTCCATGGTCCACCACCTCAGCGGCTTCGAACTGGAAAGTGGTAAGGACTCTCCTTACTCCACTGGAAGAAACGGGGGAGAAAAATGTGGTGGAGAGTCCAATTGAACATTCACACCAGAGACAATGCAATTGGTGACCATGAAACCATATTTTGAAAAGCAGACCAAACCTAATTTATTCAATATAAGGAATGGCAGGGATGGGCATCAACCCCTTCTGCTTTAACCACGAAGTCCCTGGGTTAGTATGGTCTGGAATGGGCATATTTATAAAGCAACGAGCGATCTTGTGGAACACCCCATCACTAATTTATGTGATTGTAATGAACAGTGTGCATTTTGTGGCCATGGAAATTATGAAAGTGAAGTCAACATGGCCTTAAAGTGTAAGTTTTAGTACAATTCTAAGTAATCAAAGTACACCTGGACAGGCACCACTCGCAACAGAGCAGGATCATGGTTAAAACATGGGACAGGCCCTTGCAAAATAATATACAGATATAACAAAAGAAAGAAACTTACCCAGTTACAGTCTCACTGAAAAGTAAAGGATGGTGACAGGTGGAAGACGGTACCCTGAAGAGGAAGAATCAGCTACCCAAAGCAGATAATGGGAGATGAATGTATGATGCGTAGTCCCAGTGCTCAATCAGGAAGAAGGAGACAAGAAATAAAAAGTCAGTTGAAATAAAGCAAGCCAGATCCAATGGGTAATCCAAGGGAAAAAAAAATCCAGGACAGAGTGGTGCAAGGGAATGAAATTGTGAGAAACGGAGTCAATGAAAACAAGCTTTGAAAGTAATGAAGCAACCCAGAGCATGTACCAGACAGGGAAGGTCATCCGAATCCAACTGAGAATAAAGGTGGAAGACGGCAAGATACAAAATGATGAAAAGTATATTCCACATGAGCCCCCAGAGCACATGTTAGTAAAATCATTCAAGAACAAGAAGAAAGTATCGAACCGAAACAGCAAATAAAATCAGATCTATGCTGGCCAAGAAGGAACAATTAGACCCTGTGATCTTCACAAACTAAACTAATTGTAAGAAGTATAAATTATTAGGAATTATGAAAATGAAATAGTCAATATAATATAAATATAAGTAAGTGTGTAGTGAAATAAACATATGTACAAGATGTTATGTGTTGAAGAAAAGAAAATATTTAACCTAATTATTGATTTACCCATAAAATGAACTACAGGTAAACTAACAATTACACTTGTTAAGCCTAATCAGACTGTGCAGGACCAAGTATACCACTAAACTAACATTAATATGTACAATATTGGGAGAAGTTTGTGCAGACCCCAGTTCCAGGGGGTCCACACAAATAAAGTTAATATGACGAAGTATAAAAAATAAATAACGAAAATGAAATACACATTATATTGTAAAATTAAGCAAGTGTGTATTGACAATAAAATATGTATGAGATTTGATATTTTTAAGAAAAAACAATATAGTTAACAATATACCAGAATAAGTTACAAATATCACTATTTATCGAAATTTATACGAAGGTACAAAAAAGAACACTTGAAGAGATCATAAACTAAATGTCTGAACACAAGCTCTGCCAAACTAGAAGTGATAGTTAGGTAGGATAGCATAGAGGGAGTCACGAGTCACGTGGGTGCGTGGCACACCTATTACTGGAGGTTTGTTCTATGATAATTTGCATGCGAGAATCAGTTAAACCATGTGAATTGAGAGGTGCATGGGAGTGAAAGGCTTGTGTCATGCAAAACAATTTGCAAATAGAGGGCAGCAATAAACTAGAATAGGTATGTATGTATGTTAGAAGAAGTAACGCACCTTATCAGAACTTATTATTCTTTAAACTTTCCAGTTTTTCAACATGCTCAGAATTAACATAATCATCTTGTTCAATTTCGTTTCCATCCAGCAACTGTTCAGGATGAGGTATGCGCAAGTCATGAAGTATTTTGTGTTACCTACAAGGGTATACTGTGAAAATGATATTTGTGGTACATAGACACTAGTTGGGTAATTAGCTGTATATTTTGTAAATTTATTTTAGTTAGTATTTTTTATATAATTTGTGCTTTAAAAAGCTGTTTATTTTAATATCATAAAAAATATTACATAAATCTTCATTAGTTAGAACTATAGAAAAAGTAGAATTTAGTAATCCAGCCATTTCATAATCACCAATTTCAATTTTACTAGTTTTATACCAAATATTTTAAAAGAAAACCTGGTTAAAATACAGTTTTGTCATACATACAACATCTATAGCACTTATGAAGCTGTACATAGAGTTCAATGACATCAAAGAATTCTTGTTTAAAAACAGTTTTCCAATTTACATCATAGATAGAACACTTAGTAAGTATTTAAATAAGTATACCCTCTACATTCGAAGTTCTGAAGAAATATCCTGCAGTCATTATATACTCTGAAGGGTATACCAGTAGATACAGTTAAAGTGTGTGTTTTTAAACCTAATTGTCACCAACGATGTTTTTTATCCAGTGTTAATGTCATAAAATATAGTGTATAAATTTAATGTCCCTGCTGTTAGCAAGGTTATATAGGGTCCATTAAAAGAAACTTAACTCCTATAAAATAACATTTGAATTTCAGGACCCCTACTCAGATGAGTTTACCTGAACATGCCCTTGCTAAATGTGATGTAATAGTCCATTGTAATTGGTTTAAGAATGTAGAAAGTCAATAATGAACAGAGCTTGCACATTAACTCTTTCAACCTAGGCTCAGTCCCTGGGACTGACCTCGTAACCATTTTTTGCTTGTTATATTTTTCATGCTATAACTTTTAAATCAGTAAGCGAATAAACTGATAAGCTGCCAAATTTTGTTAAACATTACAATGCTTTCATAAGCAAAATATTTAATCTTTTTCATAAATTCATAAGGTTTGTAAAGCAATGTTTCTCTCATGCCTTTTTTCTTTTCACATCTTGCCTATCTTTCATGCAAAGTAATTTTCATTTTAAGATTAAAAATACTTTTATGCATCATAAAATTTTGAAATTTCACATGCAAAATCTTTATAATGTCCAGATAATTATCAAACATTTTTTAAGAAAAACTTTATATTTTATGTGTTATTTTCAGTAATTAATCTCTGTATGGGATCAGTAAATTTGACCGATCTTGCAATCACCATAAAAAATTAGAAAATGAACATAAAATATGCCTCTTTCATGAACACAAATTATAACACGAAAACATAAATGTTTAGACAAAATAGCTAAAATCTCATAACATTATACATTTATTATTTTTATTATATTGACCTTTCACCCATACCTGGCTAACAATACAGAAGTTACAATGAGTTTCTAATTTGAGTTTCTAATGTGTATGAAACTATAGACTTACTATTTTGACTTCACAAACATTTAATTTGAACCAGTGCTGCATTCAACATACCATGTGACACATAAAAATTTACGTTTATCTGTTTTTTTTTAATATTTACTTTTAAATTAACAAACTGAGTAATGTAAATTATGAATTACAATCTACAGTTTGGTACCAAACTTATTGACATAAATTCATGAAATAGTAGTTCAATAAAATTTTGAATGCAAGTCAACAAATGAGATGACATGGCCTTTCACCTGTGACCTGTCTCGAAAGAGTTAAATAGAGCTTGCTCATACAAACTCTGAGGCCTGAAGTCAGTCAGATAAGATCAATCTGTAAATTACTTAATTTTGTAAAAGTTTATCTGTTTAAAGACTTATTTTAAAAAAAAATGTTCACATTTCATAAGTATCTCCAAATAATTCAATTGCTTAATTCACATGAGATAATTCTTTTCACATCCCATCAGAATTTACTTTGAAATTTATACCCAAAACCTTACTATTCCTGATCTCCATATGCAGTAAAACATCAAACCTAGTTGAGCCATGATCACCTGCACTCAGATGTTTCCAAATCTCAACCCTCTCAACCATTTCCGTATTGGAAGCTAACAATAAATTTTAAATAACATTGTTCCTAGTTGGTTTCCATTTTAATGGTTTCTAACAACCTGTATCCATCATGGTTTGACTATTAAAATTTTGTAACGTTCACGAATATGCAGAAATTAAAATCACTCATAATTATAACATTATCAACAGCTGAAATCTTAATTCTTCTTCTATAGCTTTTCCTGTATCTATACGGGGTCTCTATTTTTGACAGCACGTTTCCACTCTCCTCGGTCTTTGTATTCGTCCCCAACAAGGCCTTTCTCTCTAATATCTCCATCCACGCAATCCTTCCATCTTCTCCTTGGTCTTCCTCTCTTCCTTCTCCCCTCCACCTCCATATCCAAAACCCTCTTACCTATATAATCATCTTCCCTCCTCATCACGTGCCCATACCACTGCAATCTTCTCTCCTGAACTTTCTTCGATATTTCCACCACTTTAGTTGTTCCTCGAATCCTCTCGTTTCTAATCCTATCAAGCCTTGTCACTCCACACACCCATCTCAACATTTTCGTCTCGGCTACCTCTAATTTCTTCTCTTGAGCCTTTTTGATGGGCCAGGCTTCCGCTCTCCGTACATCATCGCAGGTCTCACAACAGTTTTATAGACCTTTCCTTTCACCCTTGCGCTGATCTTATTGTCGCATAGCACTCCCGACGCATTTTTCCAATTTCTCCATACCGACTGGATTCTATGGCTTACTTCAGAGTCAAGTGTGCCACATAAGACCCAAGATACTTAAAGGTGTTTACCCTTTTAAGTTTATCGTTAAGTAAAGTAACATCCCCCATTTCCTCTTCTCCATTAAAAACCATATATTTCGTCTTCTCTCTACTGACCTTAAGTCCTCTCTCCTTCATCTCTCCAATTTCTGCTCTACTCCCTTGGTATCTATGAGGACTATGTCATCTGCAAATAACATGTCCCAAGGTGCCAGTTCAACGATCCCTTGGCCCAGCACATCCATTATCACGTCGAAGATATACAGGCTTAGAGAAGAGCCTTGGTGAAGTCCAACTGTTACTGTGAACTTCTCCATCAGCCCGACACTGGTTCTTACTTGCGTCCTCGCTCCCTCATACATATCCTTCACCAACTTCACATACTTTTCAGACACTCTCTTTTCTCTCAGGCATCTCCACACTTCCTCTCTCGGTACTCTGTCATATGCCTTTTCCAGATCTATAAAGACCAGATGTAGCTTTTTCTGTTTTTCACCATACTTTTCTAACATCTGCCTGACAACAAAGATGGCATCCGTTGTCCCTCTCCCAGGCATAAATCCAAACTGCTGTTCACCAATCTCTGTTTCTTGTCTTATCCTTCCTTCTACTACTCTTTCCTATATTTTCATTGTGTGTGACATCAACTTAATACCCCAATAGTTCCTGCACTTTTGGATGTCACCCTTTTCTTTGTATATTGTATGATCACGCTATCTCTCCACTCATCTGGTATCTTCTCCTCCTCGTAAACCTTCCTCAACAGATCCCACAGCACCTCGACTCCATCATCTCCCAAACATTTCCACACTTCTGCTGGTATTTCATCCGGTTCTGTAACTGAAATCTTAATCTCACTGTAAAATTTCTCAATAATTTCATCAGTTTTTATCTGTAACAAATTCCAACTTTAGAAAAGCCTTCTATCCTATATCCACTGAAAGAAACCCAAATACATTTAACCTTACTGTTATCATTGATATCCTCAACTTTAACAGGATGTAACTCACATTTTACACGTAAAGCAACTCCTCCCCCTTATTTTAGTACTCTATCATGGAAAGGGTGTAGACTTGGTACACTTGGATTTTTTCAACAACCTTTTGATAAGGTGCCACACAGAGGATTAGCTCTAAAGACACTTTAGGAGGAATTGGAGAATAAAAATCTAGCTACTTGATTTATTGAGTGGCTAGGTGAGACTGTAAGAGCAAGCAAAACAATATTTAAGGAGTCCAGTCAAATTAAACCCTTTTTACTTGTGGTATGTCAGAAGTTAGTGCTTGGGTCTCTTATTTTTATTACTTACATTAATGATATTGATAGGAGCATAAATGTAAAACTGGTAAATTAGTAAAGTTTGCTGATGATATCATACTCTTGGCAAATATAAGTGTGACGTATACATTTGGGTTATAACTTCAATCACAAGTTTAGCATGGATGGGAATCCATTCAATAGTATGAATGAAGTAAAGGATAACGGTATAGTTGTGGATGCATCATTCCAGTCATTGGGGAGTGCTCTATTACTAGTAGCAAATTTAATTGAATTTTAGGGTGTATTTATTGACATATTGATTACATAATATTTTTTATATTCGAGTTGTTCATCCAAATTACTCAAAAGTAAAGGTAGGCTTAGTGAGTTCTTATACCACTGCCATGTTTCATAACCATGGCGATGTAATCGAAAAGCTTTATCCGAATAATTTTTTTAGATATTTAAAGATGTGGCAAATGACTTTATTTAGTAAGCAAAGCTTTCCTGTGACTCATTTTTTGCCCTACATCTCACTAAATAGCGGTATTTAACATCAGCATGATTCCTAAATTCTCCATGGAACCGTTCGACACATAATGAAATCTAAGATGGCGCGCAATATTTGTATGCAAAAATCCAAGTTCATAGTATGGAATTTACATACTCGAATATATAGAAATCACTCCGTTTGTACAATTTCACACAAATGCACCTGTAATAAACTTTAAGAAAAACGTACTACATAATATATTTTCACAAGGTAAAAATTACATATGTATGAGGCTAATAAAGAATTTTAAATTTGAATAAAAAAAAGCTGTAACAAAGACATTAAAGGTAAATCATTGCAAAATTTTCATACTGGTCAATATGCACAGATAATGTTGCATGTTGAAATGCTAAAGTCTTATCCTTTGCCGAGTGTAAATCGATTTTGTTGATAAATGATAAGTTTATAAATTTATTTAACAATTTCTTTTCTTTGAAATTTAACCAATGAAAAGATGATGCAGTGATGATTAAAGGCCTACTTTATTTACTTGGCTCTTCCAAGCATTACATATAAACCGTGAATTCAGCGAAATTAGTCCATCGCAGCTAAAATAGTGAATGAAAGAATAGATTAAGCCTCTACATAATCTCTTTTTCACCAAATTTACCTTTTAGTGAGGAAAAGAAATTAGTAAATAAATAATATTTTAGTCCGCTGTATAATAATAGAAAATTAAGTGTAAAATATATAATAGCATGTTATCCAAATGCCCAGGAACGTCGAGAGCCAGCACAGGCGCCGGAGCAAACATCCTAGCCGGGCCCCCTTTCTCTCTCTCTTTTTTAACATTTTCCATAATATATTAAAAAGAAGATCCTAAATTAGGATAGCAACAAGCTCATTAACCAGACAAAATCATAGCAGCAGCCGTTTTTACCTCACAGTATAAGCGTAGAAATGTTAATAAAGTAACAACAAATATTTATTAAATCTATAAAGTAACAAATACATATTAATTATTACTCAAATTATTATTTCAGTTGTTCTTAATGTATGAAGCGTCTATATGCAAAGAAAAGCCAAAAACTATGGTTATCATTAAATGAAGATATAGCCTACAGATGCTTTGCAGGCTTTACGGCATAACCAGGTTTCATTTGCCCGGGCCCTCTGGGCAGTTGCCCCACCCCCCCTGTCAGCGGGCCTTGGGACAAGTAATTCTATTTCACACAAATCACTAATTAAGCCTCATTTAGAATATAGAATACAGCTTTAGTCTTTATCTAAGGTTACTGACTTATTGGAAAGGGGTTCAATAAAGGGATATTGATGACTTTGAGCACAAAAAGATTATCTTAAAGGGAAAGGTTAATATCTCTTGAGGAATGAATGGTAAGAGGTGGTCTTATTGCAGTTTACAAGATTGTTCAGAGATGGAGGTGATAAAGCCGTTTATTCTTTATTATTTTGTGATATATTCTTATAATCAAACAAGTACGAGAAGGTATCAGTTAAATATTTGGAAAAAGACAAGCTAAGTTTCAGATAAGTCAGTTTTACTTTACTAACAGGGTAACTGGCTTATGGAATGAGTTGCCATCAGCAATAGTGGAAGATGACATTTTATAAAAGTTTAATAAAGGAATCTATGATTTCCAGAAAATAAAGGTTGGGTATAAATTTTTTATTGTTCTCAAGAGTGAGAGGAAGGACCAAATGGTTTTGTTGTTTGTTATTTTCCCCTCTATCCATTACAAAATAAAGTTTAAAGTTTTACTATTTTAACTTAAGTTTTAGCTATAGAATATAATTTTCACATGTTAATAACACACATAACCAACAATAATACATAGTACGATAACTCTTTTAAAGCTTACATTTATGTATGCTCACTAAAAATTTTTAAAATATTATATCATTTATATACTTTTTTAAAATTTTAACATAATACTTGAGGAATAACAAGGGCCCCTTGGCCCATCACTGTCCCATTCACTTCATCAACACCCATCTGCCAATATCCATACCCGACTACCCAAGTATTTCAAATCAATGACGAGGAACTCATTTTGAGATTAATAATATGCTTGGAGTTGACTTGAATGGGTAATGAAAAAAACTTTAATATAAGTTTAACATAACAGTAAATATACAAGCCATCTCCAAGCATTATTACCAAAGTATTTAATAAGTACTATCTTTAACTCTCCTAATTCTTTTGCACCTATCACATCTGAAGGTAATCTATTCCAAAGGCTGGCCAACCTTTTCAAAAAACAAAACTGCCTAATTTGTAGACAACTTCTACTAGTAGTTCTACCCTGCCAAATTTTAAATTAAAGTCTCTTATTCCTACCACTCTTACCATTAAACACACAAAAAAAGATGATACATATATATAATTATATAATTTTTAGCACTTCAATCAGATCCACTCTAACCCTTATTTTCTCAAGAAAAACAATTTTAAGTATCTTAAAAGTCTCTAAACACAATAGCCTAAATGAGATTCTACCAGTATTAACTTTAAAGTACACAATATTACTACTGATATAACTATTATTAATGCTTGCTTTTCAACTGCAACTAGTTCAAGCCTAACCACATAACCTTATTACCAATAATTAAGTTATTTCAACTATTCAAGTTGTACTTTGTACTTGGATTTGAACTTGATGTAAAACAAAACCTGCGCTGCGATAAGCATGTTCACATCTTACATTAAATTTAACACAAACTTTGCGGGTAATACTTTACAAGCAAATCCATCTAATAATTTCATAGTTGCATAATTCTCAAAAACATAAATGTTAAAGCTTACCACCTCTACAAAACCTTTTAGTTTTATCACCCAAAATGCTTTGCAAATACCTTATGGTCTTTAGCATCAACTGATTTTCCTTATAAAATAAAATGCCACAAGATGGCGATAAAACTCTCGAGAGTTAGCACGTAAGCCGAGATTAAATTATATACTATAGTTCTCAATAACATTCAGGAATAAGTCTGTAAGAAGCTTTGTCTGGTAGTGGTAGTAAGTAGTGTTGTTGCGGGGATAAAGGTTGTGAATAATTATTGTGATAAGATACGTTTGTTTGTAACGTATAGCAAATTGAAACTATGAGTTACATACATGTATCGGAAGACGAAAATGATGAACCAATCGAATTGCCGTGTGAAGATGATGGTACACTACTTTTAACAACTTTGTCAGCTCAATTTCCGGGAACATGTGGATTGAAATTTCGGAATACTGACACTGGTGCAATGCGTGGGGTACGACTTGTAGAGGGAAGGTTTCACCCGTCCAGTGATGGGTGGGGAAATCAAGTGTACATTTGCGTATTTCCAAAAGGTAATTAGTATTCGTGTCTATCGATATTCAGTTTTTGGGTCTACTGCAAAACAATTGTACTGTCGTTAGGCCTAAGCAAACCTTCAATTTTTCAAACGAACAAGTTTTACAAATTGTAATTATTAGTGTCACTTTTTATATAGCCTATAGGCCTTAAACTTCATAAGATTAAGAACATACATACACGAATAATTCCTTCAACAACTTCTTGAATATGCACTAGTGCCAGAGGATTGGAAGTTGCAAATATCATTCCTTTTTTCACGGGAGATAATGATTCATTAATTTTCTCAATACTTATACTTATATAGGCAGTAAGTAAAACACCAAACGGTGTTCAGAACCAAAGCAAATTCGCTCAAAAAGTCAAAAGCTTTCCCAGTTTCTGTAAAATAGGTAAAAAAAGCAGAATATTAAACTCCTAAAAAATAGCATTTAGAATTAAGCTACAAATACCATATAACACTACTTGGCTGAAATTCTACAATATCATTATTAATCCCTTATTAATGTAAAGTATACTCTTCATTTTAAAGTTTTTTGTACTTTGTCAATGACAGTGTTACTGTAACCTTTCACGATTGAGCAAAGTAAAACATGGAACCATCAGATCTCCAAAACAATAATATCCAAATTTCTCAAAAGACAGTGTTAAAAGTAATCCTTAGAAAAATAATGGTTCAGAAATATTAAAAATCTTACTGATGAGGGATATAATTTTTTTTTTATTGCACTAGAAAATGTGAGGCCTTCATAAGCTTTGTACAAATACATTTGAAATTATTTGAATCTACAGTGTGCATTAATATGCCAAGTGTTCCAATATTAATATAAAAAAGTTAATCTTTGAAACTGCATTAACTTATTATGGATTCTTTGTGTCGCAAATAAAAACACACATTTGTGAAGGACACTAAATGCTTATTTCCATGGTATATAGCACTTCTTGACACAAACAATCTGTAATACTGTTATTTGACATTGATTACTAAATAAATCTAATTAGCAAATCTTTGAAACTGCATTAACTTATTACAGACTCTTTGTGGCACAAATCAAAACATCCATTTGTGGAGGTTATTAAATGCTCTATTCAATGTTATATAACATATTCAACACTGAATACTAATTACACCTCATTTGTCAATCTTTGAAACTGCATTGACTTATTTAGGATTCTTTGTGTCACAAATCAAAAAACACATTTGTGGAGGTAATGTAATGCTCTATTCCATGATATATAATACTTCTTGTCACAAACAGTCTGTAGTGCTGAAATTAATCATTTAATACTATGATAACCTAGTATGCCAATATTTGAAGCTTCATCCACTTATGAAGTAGTCTTTATGTCATGAATCATGCACAGGTGTTTAAAAAGTAGTAAACACTTTATCACATGACAAAAATTCTGTTTTGCCAAAATCAATCAATGAATATCATGTGAATTTCATTAGTCAAAGTTTGTACTTGCATCTGCTCATTACAACTGTAATGCTGCCCAGTACAAGAATGTAGAAGTAGCTAGTAACCTCCAATGATAGATCAGCTGATATCTCTACATTAGAACCTCCCTATAGAAGGTATAGGACTTAAAATTCTACTTTTACAGTGACAAATGAAAATTAGATACTTCTGCACCTTAGACAAATATAGGTTTTAGGTAGTTTAAAATTCTCTACAAGATATACTATGTAATCCTAGTCCTTACATTCCCCTTCACAAAATACCAGAAGGTGGAAGGTGTTTACAGAAATTGTTTGCATAGCACTGTTTGAATTTCTCTTTAAAAAGCTTTTCAAAAGAGAGATAATAAATGAAAGTGTTTCTTCAGTTTTACTTGGGGATTTCCTTGAGATTCTTAATCTTGTTGATGGAATTCACATATCCCTTTCTCTCTCTGGTGTCAGTAATTTGAAACAAACTTGCTTGTTTATCTTAAGACTACATATCTGGATGGTTAAGAATTTTGTAGGCTATCCAGGCTCAAATAAATTGTGACTGTGATATATCATAAGGAGAGTGGCTACCTGTACACTGGATCCATGCATAGAAACAAACAAAAATGCCACAATCAAAATAATTTTTTTTGATGAGGAATGTCAATAGGAGCAAGAAACTGCCAATCTTCCATAATCAAAAATTTTCCATGGGACTGATGAATGGATGAGAAAAATGTAAAAATTAGATTAAACAGTTGCATGTGCTTCCTGTGCATAGAATCTAAGCAAATTATTGTTTCCATTTTTTAAATTGCCAGACACAAAATCCAGTGACATGCTTTCACATTAACTTGGATGAGAAGAAGATCAGAGTGAATGATTTTTTTCTACCCTTTTCAGAAAACCAATAGTTTTCTATCCACATTGAAGCCATTGCATGAAGCAGACAAAATATTGACAAATTGTTTAATGTATTCAGTTGAATTGGGCACACTAGTAAGAAAAGCATCAATCACATTATCAGTTACCCATTCTCCTGGTTGCAATGAATTCAAATCTTCAATGAAAACATCAATTTTAACAACTTGTTTAATAGGATGACAAGAGTCACTATTTATGGTTGGGAATTCCATATTTTGGGGGAAAATCTGAACCTTTTTATTTAAATTCATTTCAAACATTTTTCTTGTAGAATTCAGTCTTGGTTGGATTATTCCTTGGTAAAATTTCTTAGTGTTCTTCCCTTCAGAATTACCAGAAAGTGTGATAAGTTCACAGGCACAAGTTTCAGTTTGCAATTTAATTAACTTTTTTGTCTTTGTCTCTATATGTTTGTGAATTAGGATCGTCTACAGTTTCTTCATGATCTGACAACTGAGTATGAGACTAGCTTCTATTGAATCTGGTGGTGTACTCATATGTATGTTCTCCTTTACACATGACATCTTTCTACTGGCTTTGTTTCTCTTCCACAATTTTCTTTTCGGTTGACTAAGTTACAATGTTTTAGAGAATTTGGAGACATGTTAGCTGCTACTATGTGATAACAAGATCTTGTTGATGGGCACATACTCTTTTCTACATGATACAATTGTGCAGTTTGAATTTCATTGGAAAATTCTTGTACTTTACCATAAAGCACTTTAATGGACTGAAGAGCAATACATCAATTTTTTACAATCCATTGGGCCAGTCCTTTGGGTTTCTATAGCACATTTATCATTCAGTATTTTTTATTTTGCAATGTAAGTTAAAAAACTATTATCAGGGCTAACAAGATCACCTGGGAAAACAACTTAATCTTCCCTCAACTAATCTTCATGCTTCCTTTGATATAAACTACCAGTCCCACAAAATCCATGCAAAATCTCACAGTGGTAATACACAGACAGAAAATAAACACTAAGCAGTAGTTCTTCCAGTCTTAATTCCTTGTGCTCAGTCATTGTTTTCAGGACACTGTTGAACATTTTTGCACAGTTTGTTGTAATTCCTGATGTAGGAGAGTACAACCCATGTTCATCTAAAACCCATCGACAAGAATGTTCTGTGAGGGTCTTTTCTAAGTGTGCTTCAATATAATCAACAAATGCAAGGCTCCACTTAACTTTAAACTTAGAAAACAGAGAATCATACACATTTTTACTTTCAAAATCCAGTAGTTGGAGTACATGATTTGTATACACATCTTTTGTCCTTCTGTATTTAGAAAGCTAAAATTTCAGGTTTTGAAGCATGTGGTTCCAGCAGTGAAATAACTTCGATTTAGGCAACTCTAATCCTATACCATTATCAATTGCCTGCTCTCTGTCTCTGATAAATGCAATATACACTTTTTTTTAATGTTGGCCACCAACCAGTTAAGACTTGGAAAAACAATTTGTGTGACTGTTCATTTTCCTTGTCATGAAGTGGGAATGCTCCTCCATTCTAGCATTCTTAAACAACAAGCATGATAAATAAAAGTCTCCTAGACAAAATGTTGTGTCATAGCTAGCTAAAACTCTAAAATATGACTCCAGTGTAGTAATAAATTATTTTACTAATTGATCAGAGTCAAAACAATTGTAAAACAAGGCAAAATATTATAATCCCATATATAGTCTTTTATTGTGCAATCCACTTCATAGCTTGCATAAACATCATCATGTGAAACTCTTCACTTCTGTGTTTTCTAGTTTAATGTGATTTCTTACTACTTGTTCAGGATCTCTTGGCTATGTTACTTTAATATAATCTTGTGCAATTGGCTCTGAAACAAGTTTTCTGTATGTTTTTTTTTTGCCCTTCTTTGCTTTCCACTTTATGGTTGTTATATTAGAGTACATATGTGTGGCTTTTCCAAATAGGTCTGTCTGTTATCATGAGGGTATGACACCAAACAAATATTAGAACCAAGATAATGTGCAAGGACAAAGGCTTCACAATTATTCATATATGATGTATCTCTGTAAGAATGTCTTTTAAAGTTTTTACAGTTTCATGCTTCATGATATTCCTTTATCAAATTTGGTAGTTTCAATGGAATATGTCTACCCCCCTCTAGACCCATTGTATACCATCACAGTGCCAGTCATTTCTGTTACTCCTTGCATTATAAAAGAAGCAGTATATTTCACCAGGTTGTAGTGATTTGGCTGTTAGTTTGGAACATTTATTTGATTTAGAAAATATATGGTTTCTAGCTATCTCCGATGTTAAAGGTTCCTTTGAGAAACCAAAAGGAATATATTTTTTGCTCACGTAAGAAGTACTTTTAACACTCTGACCTTGAGCACTTACATCCATTGTTGTTCTGTGTTGTAACAAGTGGGCTTATGTGTGACATGTTGTCTCTTATTTCAAAACATTTTCTTGCTCTGTTTACGTATTTTGGCAAAAAAGATTAAACAGTGTGTCTGAGCTGGAAAATGTAAGTCACAGATGCATGTTCACTTGTAGTTTGGTATCTGGTTTGAAACTCAGAAGTTGGGGAATGGGCTTTTTCATCCTGAACTGTATGTTTCTGGTCATTTTGTTTTCTTTATAAATCCACAACACCTTTATGGTTTCTCTTCC